GAGAAGTGCTCACTAACACAGATTTAGACAGATTTGTGAACAATATTTGAGAGAAATAGGCCTTTTGTGTACATAGAAAAAGACTTAGATCTTTGAGTTCAGCTCATGAAAAATGGGGGCAAAAACAAAAGTGTTGCGTTTATAATTGTGTTCAGTGTATCTATCTATGTCTGTCTGTCTGTCTAAGATACCATAATTCTACTTTTTTAGACAAAACTTTACCCTCGGACTCAAATAATATCTCTCTCTCTCTCTCTCTCTCTCTCTCTCTCCGTCTTTCTCTTTCTCCACAGAGCCTCTGAGAGTCACATTATCCCCGAAGAACCTGAAAACAGGCATCAGCAGCACAGTGATTCTGTCCTGTGCCGTTCAGGGCTCGCCCCGCTTCACCATCTCCTGGTTCCGCAACACAGAACCCATCGTGCCTGACCAGCACTTCTCCATCCAGGGAGCCCACAATGAAACTCTCTTCATCACGGCAGCCCAAAAGAGACACTCAGGGGCATATCAGTGCTTCGCCACACGCAAGGGTCAGACCGCACAGGACTTCTCCATCATACTGCTTGAGGGTGAGTGGAAAGACTGGATAATGCGATAGCACTGAAGGTTGTGGTTCTGATTCTAACTCTGCAGTGTACAATTATATTTTGACATCAAAGTTCCAAATTTAGATTAATATGACTTTTAAGCAAGTTACAATGTGCCCTACACAAGCGTGACAAGATTTTTTTTTTTTCTTCCAGTAACAGGTAATTTTGCTGTCCTTAATGAATGTGAAATACTGCACGAAGAAACAGCAGAATATATTTGGCATTTAATATTGTAAGGGAAACACAATCAAATTCATAAGGATGATTCGTCTTCTTCGACAAGATTGTGCATTTCATTCACATAGAATTGATTGATGGTTCTTACAGGTCCTACACACGCCCCTGTGGAATTCGGCTCCTCGTGTTTCAACCATGTTTTGACCAAATCTTAGATTGTCTGTCTGATTCGGTCTGATATCCTACAATATACATAAACCAAAAGAAACCAAGCAACTGAAATGAAAAATTATTAATGGTATTAATACTGAATGCAATTTTCAGCAACAAAGCAATTTTCAAAATGATTTAAAAATATATGACTTTTATCAATTAGGGCTAATGGATTAAAATGATTGTGCTCAATCTAATGATTTTGTGACAATGATTTTCTGTTTTAGAAAACAGAATCAAACAGTAATAATTTCGATAAATATGCCACAAAAATATAATGTAAAAATGTTTTTCAGCTGAAATTATCCATGGAGCATCCTCTTACAGTTTGTATACTTCTGAATTAAGTAAACTCACATTTTACGATTTCACAGTTTAAATTTATTGCATGCAATTAAATTAAGTTGAGACAAAATATTCAAGAATTTGGTTTTATTTAATTAAATTTACACACATTTACTTTTTTTTTTTTACATCATGTCTGGTTAGGACACAGTGTCATTCATGCAATTCAGAGGCAAGACAAAATTAGTGACCTAAAATTGACCACTTCTGAACTCCTGTTGAAAAATTTAGCTGTTCTTATGAAATAAACATTTCAGCAGTGTACCTTTAAAAGATTCTGATGTCTGCCATCTGTATTCCTCTCTCTTTTTCCTGTCAGACGGCACCCCACGGATCATCTCGTCTTTCAGTGAGCGCGTAGTAGCCCCTGGCGAGCCCTTCTCTCTGTGGGGGGGGGGGTGTGGGTGGGTGGAGCGTCTTATGTTGTTTGTTCATCACAGTTCTGTCACCTGTGCGTTTTCTCATCTTGAACGCCGTTCTTTCCACTGTCAGATCATCTGTTTGTGTTCTCGGTATCTTTCCACTTCTCCTGTTTGTGTCTCCATCTGCTGAGTCTTTGTTCCTCTCTTTCACACATACACGGTGTCTCTGTCTCGATGTTGCCGGCTGGCTGGCACACGTGTGGTGTCCTGGCTGTTCTGGGACAGAGTGGAGATCTGGCAGCAGGGAGACGCCATCACGCCAAAGAGAAAAGAGACATGTCAGATAAGAAACCAGACTGAGAGGAGAGAAAATTAGTTGAAACAGTAGAGAAGGGTAGAAGCGAGAGAAAAATACTTAAAAACTCAAAGAAGAAGAGAGGAGGATAGAAAGGAGAGGAAAAACTCAAATTAGAGGAAAGGAAAGAAGTAGAGCAGAGACAAGAGAAGAGGACAAATATGAAAAAAATGATTCCAATGAAATGGAAGTAACGATAGATCTTTTCTTCTGTATTATGATGTATTATAGTTTCATTCGTTTCCTCCGTAATTCTATATGGATTATTGAAAACGTATGTAGACCAGGGACTTTATTTTATCCATCGGTTGTTGATTGGATTTTGATATTTAGATGTTTGACTCAAAAATGAATGAAAACTCATTCAAGTCAATTTTGGTTGGGTTGTGTTTAAGTGGACTAAATCATTTTTTTGAAAAGTCTGGTATACGCCACCAGAGAGAAGTTTGTCGTTTCACTGGAAAATCAAGTTTTGACTTAAGAAAAACAGTGGTAAATGTATATAGACTCTATGATGAGAATTTCTACCCTTTGATTAGTAATGAATACTGATTATTTCACAGACAAAGTGGAATTCAAAGTTTGGCTCATGGTTACCTAGCTAACATGATAAAAAGTGCCTCAAAAACATTTTTGAATATCTTTTAAAGGTCCCATGACATGCTGCTTTTTGGATGCTTTTATATAGGCCTAAGTGGTCCCTAGTACTGTATCTGAAGTCTTTTTCCCGAAATTCAGCCTTGGTGCAGAATTTCAGCCACTACGAGCCAGTCCCACAATGAGCTTTCCTTAGGACGTGCCATTTCTGTGTCTGTAGCTTTAAATGCTAATGAGGAGGAGAGAGGCGGGGCAACTGCCATGCTTCGCTCGTTTGCAAGCCACGATGTCTCTCGAGGAAAAAAAAATATTGCGCTCGCCTCGCACGGTAGTAGCTCATTTTCTCATGGGCGGGCCAAATTCTCTGATTGGGCCATCTGAGCTTTCATTTTCTCAAAGGCAAAGCAGGATACCCAGGGCTCGGTTTACACCTATCGCCATTGCTAGCCACTGGGGGACCATAGGCAGGCTAGGGGAACTCATATTAATGTTAAAAAACCTCATAAAGTGAAATTTTCATGCCATGGGACCTTTAACTGATAATTTTTGGTACATTCTGAAGGGAGTAACAAGAGGCATTTCTCTCTGACCTGAATATATTTTAAAAGTTTAGTTCACCCAAAAATGAAAATTAACCCATGAATTACTCACCCTCAAGGCATCCTAGGTGTATATGACTTTCTTCTTTCAGACGAATCCAGTCGGAGTTATATTAAACATCAGTCCAAAAGAAGTGAAATAAAGCACATCCATCCATAATAAAAAGTGCCTCACACAGCTCCAGGGGGTGAACAAAGTATTACTGTAGCGAATCCATGCGTTTTTGTAAGAAAAATATCCATATTCAAAATGTAATAATCACTTTAATCTAGTTTGTGCTCACTGGAAACACGGAAGCAGTTCCGGGCAGATGACGTAAGACGCCGGCATTGTGCATGCGCCGCTCAGAAGTGACGAACGCAGAAGTGCAGGGGAGAGATCAAAACAAAACAATGGCCACGATTTAGAAGTACAAAACGAGGATTTGTAAAGAAGAATGTCAGAGGATTTCGATATAAGCTAAGAGGAGACTGGTTTTCCTTTGCTAAAGTAAGGAAACTTTGCTTCCTTTGGTCCTGTAAACAAATGTTGGTTTTCACGAGACTCACCAATGCGCAACGCCGACCTCATACGTCATCCTCCCAGAGCTGCTTCCGTGTACAACTGTTGGCGCAAGCTAGATTAAAGTGATTATTACATTTTGAATATGGATATTTTTCTTACAAAAACGCATCGATTCGCTACAGGAGGCCTTTGTTCACCCCTGGAGCCATGTGAGGCACTTTTTTATTATGGATGTATGCGCTTTATTTCACTCCTTTTGGACTGATGAACTGCAACACCCGCTGACTGCCATTAAACAGCTTGGAAGATCAAAGACAATTTTTTTTATTACTCCGCCTGGATTCATCTGAAAGAAGGAAGTCATATACGCCTAGGATGGCTTGAGGGTGAGTAAATAATGGACTAATTTTAATTTTTGGGTGAACTATCCCTTTAAATATTTGATGTCACTTACCTGACAAACGTTGACAATTCCAATAATAATTTCATCCACAGAAGCACTTGTTCTATCCACCCAGTACCTTGTTTCTAGTCAGACAGATAAATCCCAGTGCGCCAATACTCTCGGAAGTTGTGTTCAGTCAGCTAATCAGATTAAGTTTGCAAGATTGAGAACAGAGATTGAGTTTTTTTGCATATTATGCATCAGATGGTAAGTGAACCGACTGTGGGCATTCCATGGGCGTGTCTTCTGAGCCTCAGACTAAGAGTGATATTGATTTGTGTTGACAGGCCTGTTGAATTCACCCTCTCTTCCTCTCTGAAATGTTCAGTTATGACATATCTGTCTGCTTTAAGGAGACATGCCAGAGCAATCATTGCAGTGAGAATGAGACCCTGTGCCAGGGAGCCACAGTTGTGCGCACACACGTTGAATGATACCAACACTCACGGACACACTCATAGAGTCTTAAAGGGGTCCTATTATGCTTTTTCACTTTTTTAATTTTACCTGTGAGCAATCAGGCCCCATTCTTCCTGTGAACAGTACAATAGCAGTGCTCAGTTCCTGCCTGGAACATTATCTAAGTTCATACATTCATATATTATGTTTGAGAACAAAAGAAAAATAGAGAAATAGAAAGACTGTGAAGAAGAGAGAAGAGGGATACTGTGCGACAGTCTTCTTGAATAATACATCAGGGTTGACTTGTCAGAGCGGTGACTTCAAAGCACAACACGCTGAGCTGAGAGAAAGGGAGAGAGAGCAACAGAAGAAGAGAGAGATACGAGGATGAGGAGTGGGCTGTTAGAGAGGATGAGAATATTTTTGTGCATAAAATCTACATATGCCCCATCGACGATTTATTAACCGATCCGCCCTCCATTTTGAGGCAAACAAAATGTCCTTCTACAGTACGTCTTCTCGTTCTTCTTTGTTCCTCAGATTTTTTTTACTCCTAAGCCACCTTGTCTCAATTCTTTCTGTTTCTTTTTTTTCTTTCTGCATCTTCAGGCATTGGCCATTCAAATCTTCAGTGTCCCACCATCCATTTGTTCGTACACCCCTCCATCCTCGTGTGTGATTTGAGAGCGGAGTCCTGAAGAAGAATTATCTTTTTCCCAAAACAAAGAAAACAAAACAAACACAAATCGGTCATTACTGACCTTTTCAAATTTGGCAATGACTGGTCTTGCTAGCAAGAACCAGAAGCTGTTAGCATATGCTAATTTCAAAGAGCATTCACACTGACAGCAATTTGCAGCAAGAGCAAGTTGCAACCATAGTTGGTGATTTGAGGTTACTAGAGACCAAAATTTGTGACAAATCTGTGGAAACTTTATGCAAATGCACAGCGACTACCAGAAAGTGGAGCTCATGTTATCTGCTTCATAATTCTGCAGTTAAGCAGGAAATGCATCCTAGCAATCAAAACAAGCCTAAGGTTCAATTCAATCAGGGCCGCTGCTGGCCAAATGGGTACCCTAAGCAGAATCGTATTGTTGTTCCCCGTCCCCCAAATATTATGGAAGTAAAAAAATATATAAAAAAACACCTACAATAGGGGTCAAAATAGAACTTTAATAAAATATAAAAGTAAACAAATTAATTAATTGTAATTAAACGGTATTATTTACAAAGTACAATTGTAGTTCTATAGCAAAAAAAAAATACAAACTAAAATTACACATATTAAATAAAACATTTTAAAAGATTAAATATTATCAAACATATACAATAATAAATTAAATCAAAAATCAAAAACCACTGCATCCTCTTTTGTAACAAATTCCAGTATTGAGCCTGCATTAAATGAAGCAGAAGATAATAGTCCCTGAAGAATTACTGAGTGCACTTATAAATAAACAGTTACTAGTAAAAAAAAAAATAATAAATTAAGAGCAGTCAGTGTAAGTTTTAACAAAAAAAAAAAAAAACAATTACCTCCTATGGATATGATTTTATTCATACAGTTGTCTGATTGATTTGACAGTCTCAAGCATTCAGAAATCACACAAAAGAAAATTAATACTTCGATAAAACCATGTTAATTTTTGTAAGGATTGTGATGTCCATATGTTTTTGTTGAAGAAATTACAGAGGCTGTAGCAATTCTATCGCAGAAAGGTGCATGGCCAAAAATTAAAGATTAAATGGATATTTGAATTAAAAGTTTGGTCAACATTAAACAAGGATTTGATCGTCCTGTAAGTGTAACAACAGCAATTACCAGGCCGTTGGCACACTTTGCCTAGGCATTTGTAAATTGTTTGTTTATTTTGTATTACATTATGTATTTTAACAGTGTTATTCAATTAATCCATATGCTTATTATTAATTAACCAATCATTATTGCCTCATTGTTTTTATATAATGCATTTGAAGTCATTTTAAAAGCTGCTGTTTGCTTATGTCTGTTTTTATTACCACAAAAGTCTTTTAAAAGGCTTTAAATAAAAAAAAAGGCTAAAAAAAAAAATTCTGAATACTTCTTTGTTAATTATTATTTGAAGTAACAAAACCATGGTTAATTTGTGGTTACCATGGCTACAAGAACCATCAATTTTTGGTTTTATTCATAGTAAAACCATTAGGGGTGCTCCGATGAGGATTTTTGAGGCCAATCGCTGATCGCCGATCACAGAAAGCAGTATCTGCCGATACGATCACTGATACCGATCTTTTTAAAGCCTTCTTTTTATCATGTAGAATTATTTATAGTGATGATCC